AACTTACCCCGGGGTCCAACTAGCCCCGGTCTCCCCTACCGTATGTGTTTGGAACAAAGGGCGTTACCATTTGGGGCTCTTTGCGTAATGTAAAATACATTGTAAAAATTAAAATTTGAATTTAAATTGAGACAGTAGTGGATTTTTGTTCTATACACATATATTTTTAAAAAATGGAAGACCACTTTGAATTCATTCAATTTTATTTTTTTGACACTTCAGCATGTGAAATACACCTCTATATTGGGTTTGGGAGCTTAGAGACCTTTTGTAAAACCAGCTTTACAGTAAGTTATAAAAATAGCGTGATCAGGTTTCGCGAAGAAAAAAATCTATGGCGGTCTCTATTTCATATCATATGCATTAAGAACTGTCTCGTGAGCTTGCAGCATTGAATCAAAACCCCGTGTTTGTCTAACATCTTCAGACATTTTGGCCTCAAAGCAATTCGATGCGGATTTTAAAGGCAACTGTCATTGATATGTTAAAATGGCAAGCGTTATTCTAATTATTTTTTTAGGGTTTAACTTTTATTTATTTGTTATTATTATTATGATTTTAGGGTGACCTGAGGGCGAAACTTGGAAATATGCAGGTTAACTTTACGTAGACGTTAGTACTGAATATTTTCATTTTTCGAGATAGTTTAGGTCATTCAGGCCAGTTCAGACGGCCTTTTCCTACATGTAGTTATCCTGGCCATCTGTCGATTTAGTCGATGTACAGCCAGTAAGATGACTAGGATATTTGCAAGTTTGTGACATGGTATGAAAAACGCATTTTTACTAGATGTAAAGCTAGTTCAAGTCTCACTCGGGAGCTCTGTTTTGCGACACTTAAATAAATGAGATTCGCAAGGTACAAGGTAGGATACTGGTACTTAACTTAATTACCACAAATACCAGTATAAGTCGCTTAATAAGAATTTTTTTATATCCAAGCAATGCAATATGCTGTATTGGGCAACATAAGCCTAATATGCAACCTCGATCCTCGACCTAATTCACGACCGGTGTAATAATAAAAAATAATAATAACAGTAAAATTAGTTTTAAAAATTATATATGTTTTTTTTTCTTTTGGCGGCATGGACTGAAGCTTTAATAAGAAAACATCTAAATGTCCAGCATTTCAGCAGTTTCCAGGTACTCTCGCTGTAAAAATGTTTAATGTGTCGGTAATTAGGTCTGCCAGTAGGCCTACTGTAAAATCCGAGAAGTGCATGGGCCTACTTTCCCTTATTAATAACCACAGATTTAAAAAAATCAATTCATCTCCAAAATAAAAATTAATATTTTAAACATTATGTTAAAATTTTGGGTGATACTTTTATTGGAGTAATTTACCATATACCGTATCGTGCCTCGTCATCGAATATCATGAACACATGAGTAAGCTTGTCGAAAATACAGATGGTGATGGCGGGGAATTTCAGTCATGTGACAAGTAGCAAAATGGCGGACGCGGGGTAATATGTATTGATAATGGGCAGTGGATAATGGGGTGCATTAAGGCATTTATGATGGGCTCACAAAATCAAGTTATATATATATCGAGTGATACGGACGAGAGTGATGTAATAGACATATCTTCCGATGAAATTGAAGTTTTAGATATACATCCTTTGGCTGCATCTTCTGCAACTTTTCAGACTTCTGCTGTCAAAGAATCTCCTTTCGCAGCTACAGCAAATAATTTGCCAAATACATCAAAAGAAAGTGCAAGTTTCAGTGAAGACGATTCGTTTCATCGCTCATCCAACAGTAGATGCCTGAAAGCCTCGTTCGGTGAAAGCACGAAAATAAAACCTGCAAGTGGTTACCCGACATTGGATACATCGAAGAAAGGTTTTGAGGTAAGACGTTTTACTTTATGTGTGTGAGTGCTACTTGTACATACACTGGCACTCTGTATGTAACATATAGCACTGGACTTAAGGGAGACAAGCGAAGCCAATGTATATCTTACATATCATGGTACTAAGTCCCTTCTATTTAAGTCGGCCTTCCCCACGGGAACCCCAAAATCATATCATATCATATAACTTTTGTCGTTATTATTAGTACTAGCGCTGCGAGTATCTGTAATCAACCAAAGCAGACCCATATTTGAGACTAGCAAGGTGTAGGCCTTTGTTAAAAAGCAGCTATTTTCTTCACTTACTGTAGCCACATCACTACTTTTTCATTACTTTTTTTTTCGCAAAATGCTTTAAATTTGACTAAGACAGGTTACATCAACCCAATTATGTTAAGACAATTGAAGTCAGTTTGTTAATTTTGTGTTAACTTTGTCCACTTTTGTCATGTATGCATGATGGGCTTATGGAAAAGAGATCTCTATTGCTAAGCCTGCCTGCCTAGGGAGTGCTATGGGTTCAAACAGTCTTGCGACACCAGTCATTTGTTCATATATTAATCCTGGTCTGGCAGTGAAAGATAGTGTTCCTCATAGGCCACATTCAGAACAGCTGACTAGTCTGCAAGTCAAATATGGCCGACCCACTTGAATACTTCTCCATGGGGAATCTATTCAGTGTCTATTAGGGTATTAGATGACATATTTGACCCGTGGACTAGTAAGACCACTATTCTGAATGCGGCCATACATGTGTAAGGCAGCTGGGCTGTATCCTCTCAAGGGAGGTGAGAACTCAACAGCTATGATTCAGGGGTTATTAGAAAAATTGTAAACTGCACTAACACCCCATTTCCATAGATTAGATCGACCTACTTTAGATCGACCAAACTCCCTGGGGGTTCACGCTAAATAGCTGTCAGCGGGACGGACATTTAAGTCGGATTATCTGAAAGTAATCTAGTGAGACTCCCCGCGGGGATAGATCGATCTAAAATCTATGGGAATAGAGCCTAAGATGTACAAGAGAATGAGAAGTGTGTCAGGGTCTCATTGTGATGTCACACTTGCAACTGCTGGCATGTGCAATGATGTCACTCTTAGTGATAACAAGTTTGTTTATGTGGTTGCAGAATCTAAGAAAACACTTAGAAAAGAAGATTTTTGATATTTACAGAAAGTTATTAGGAAATCGCAATCAAAGCAATGAGTGAATGCTGTTTATCATCAATATACATGAATCTTTATGAATATGGTGATTTACAGGTAAGTTGCAGATGTGTTGCATTAATTGGAACAATGACGTTTATACCTTTCAGAGGTTGATAAAAGTAGATGTTCTCATAAACTAAAATGATTAAATTTTCTTTCTACAAAAATTTGGAAAATCTTGGAGTCTAATGGTGATACTAGTGCATTTTAGAGTCTAATGGTGATACTAGTGCATTTTGCAAGATTTTCAAATGTCCACATCATCATCATCATCATAAAAGTGATATCAATGCCCTCCATAGTTCACTAGTCATTTTTTTAGATGGTCTGATACTAAGTTGATTCAAGTTAAAAAAGAATAAAGAAAATAATATGTAGGTAATTTGGAACACTTGATTTTAAGAGATTGCTAAGTTGTTTGTTTAAGTGCCTAGGGTGCAGGGCCCAACATTAATTTCAGCAACTGGTAGCCCGACTGCAATTGCCAAACCAGTAATTACACATTTATAGTTAGCCAAATAAAAATGGCAACATCCACAAGGCTAAGAGGGCATTTCCAGAGATTTAGAGCGATCTTACTAGATCGACCTAACTCCCTGCGGGTTCATGCTAAATTGCTGTCAGCCGACCTCACACGGAAGTTAATTACCCCCTTACAGCTTGTAGTAGGTGGGACGGACATTTAAGCCGGATTATCTGACAGTAATCTAGTGAGACTCCCGGGGATAGATCAATCTAAAATCTATGGGAATGCGCCCTAATAGATGTTATATATATATATATATATATATATATATATATATATATATATATATATATATACACCACGCCAATAATAAGAACAAGAAGTCAACTTTACTGCACTCAAAGAAACTGAAAATGAGTCACATGATGTTGTCCTATAGTTTTACTGCAGTGCTTACTTTTTCCATTTTTGCAAAAAAAAGTAAAGCACATCAGTCTGTTATGTGACACACACACACACACACACACTGAAACAGGTTTGGACTTACTAATAGTGGAAGGCTGGTGTGGGAGTGGGGGTCGCCTTCCCCCCTCTGCAGGTGGGGGTTGCCTTTCCCTCCAGGTGGGAGGTTTGGGAGAATTCCCCCAACAAAAATTTTTAAAATTTTAAGCAAAATGGCATTTCACCCATGAAAACTGAAGTATTTATCTAGTCCAGATAACCTGTTTTTAAGGGGTGGATGTACCCAAATACGGCTAAAAATCGTCATTTGGTTTTTTATGTCTAATTATTGGTTAAATGTGTATCTAACATTTAACAGAATAACATTTTTACATTTCGAACAAAAAATATGTTTTTTCTGAGGATTTTGATGCTGCAGTCATCGGCACCAGTGGCTTGGTCTGTGCCCTGCCTTCATTGCCAAGGGCTGTTGGCATGGGTAAACTCTGTGGGAGGACCTTCACAGCATCAGCACGACTCGCCAAACAATAAAACAGGAACGTGTCATACTCCCTTTGTCATAAACAGCGATCAGCAAAGCACTGCCTATTGTTTTGCTTTAGGTTTTGTTAGTCGCTCTTGATTGTGATCAGCGCTAAGGAGAATCTTTTCCAACACATTGGATTTGCTTGCAATACACATTTTCCCTTGAATTGCTTGTTGCTATACATGTACTTTCAATTTTCTTCTTAACATTTTGAAATACAAAAAAAGAGAAACATTTCTCTGCTTGCTACCTGTGACAGCATCCGTCAAACTATCAATCAATCTTCGACAGCAGCTCTATACAGTTGTCAGAATTTATAGATCTATGCAACTTGGGCCATCTGGCTTAGCATCGAGGCACATGTTTATCAAATCTTTAACTTGACAACTAATGATTACGATGTGACGATGGTGATAATTTCTGTGTTTTGGACTTTTTCTGAGTGACATCGACATAAACATTTGGTTGAGTACTGACTAGAATCGTATACAAGGTTGCTTTGCAGAAATAAAAGACTTAAGCCCTAGCGTACCCTTTCATCGGGTGGCGTAAAATTTCAGTACATGTGCAAAAAAAGCGTACGCAAATAGAGCTAATGACATTGCTAGACTCCCTTTTTTGCGTGAACAATAATAAGCTGAGATCACGTAAAAGCTGTAGTATTTATAACATTTTGATTTTTCAGAATTATTCATTTCGGCTATGAGATATGAGCTGGAGAATAAGTCCTAGCATTTTCAACCTAAATGCTGATATACCGCGAGGTAAAGTTCTGGATGCATGTATGCACTTTCAAGGCCAACATGGTGTTTTTTTCTTCAATAATCATCCCAGTTTCTGACTAACACAACTTAACACATTTCCTCAAACAAGCCCTGCCTGGTTGCATTTATTTCTTGTTGTTGATGGTCCAATTGGCGTCCTGTAACACGACCGTGTTTTCGTACCATTTTTCACTCGGCGAATGTGGACAAGAATTCCTGCGATGTTGTTATTGTGTACACATCCTAGAGCACATCCCTAACACTTGCCCCTTCGTCAATTGACGTGGCCACTGATTGGTTGAGTAGTTAGAGCTTACTTGATTGCCTGTCAATCATTCTGGCAGTGCTAGCGGTAACCCCTTGAAGTTACTAACAGGAGGTTAGATTGATACAAAAATAAGATTTTCTGACATCCAAATGCATGCAAACAAACTAATTTCAACCGACAATAGAGTACCCATCTTCACGATGGTCAGAACGATAACAGGTAAAGCTGTCAACAATTTAATTTGCTATTTAAGACAATTAACCTCCCTGAAAGGGTTTTTGCTCGTTTTCTTCGCTTTCCAGATTGAAGAGATAGCGTTATCGAAGCGAGCTATAACTGTCTACCTGTACACCTGAGGGAGACCAAATTCACCATGCTTATTAAGACAAGTGCTTTTTAAAAAATCTTGATTGATCCTCTCTTGTCCAATCAACTTTGAAAGTGAAAATTCCTTTATATTTTGATGTAATTTCACATTTTTATAGATAAAATCAACAATAAGTCTCTAAAGAAAAATCCCTGACTCCCTTATGTAGTACTTTGTTCAAATGTTATAATACCATTAAAAGCATGTTTATAGCTGTCCAGGTGCCAGAGAAAATCAGGTGTTTAAAAATGGTGTTTTTGTTCCCAAAATCCCAATATTATGTCACACGATGAAGTTGGAGCTGTGTTTAAAGCATAATAATTAATTAGATGTTTTGAAGATACATTAATTGAATATGAAAGGAATAAAAAAAGCTAAGGCCTTTATTTTAAGAGAAAATCTCCAACCTACATTCCCCCCTTAATGACTGAGAAAGCTAGTAAATAAAAAAGGGACCTACATGTGGATAATAAAATTAATATATAAATGATATTAATATATTAATGATATTAATGGGAATGCTACATTAAATTTTTTTAAAAAATTTATAAATACGAGGGAATAAAAAAGAAACAACATTATTATCATCACTGCTCACTTCTAAATACCTTTATTTTAGGTCATATACCTACCAGTCAGCCCCGACTAGTACCTCATTCAATTATCACAGTTACCAATATTTTTTCACAGAATTAATAAACCTTTTGAGGTAGATCGGTCGTTACGTAATTTGACGTTTTGCGCAATTTCAGCGCATCGTCAATCGTCTCTAACGACACTTCAGTCTGTTTTATCAATTTGAGGAAATAAAACAATTATCTATAAGATAAACACACAATATCAACTTGTCTGTAACTCCATACGATCGATACAGGTTTTCGACAACGTTTGTCGACTATGATTCCATACGACAACTGTAGCACGTTATGCACG